CCTGATGCACACCAAAGTTTGAGAACCAATTATCTTTATCTAGCTGCACGGGTAGAAGACTGGGGCAGATTCTCCTGTATCATATCTTTGAATACAAAGACCAGACTGGTTCCATCCCAAGGCTTTCAACCCATAAGAAGTAATAAAACATAATCAACAAACAAAACAAATAGGTTCTTGCTGTTAAACATGATTACATACCCACTCTTCTCCCCTGATACAAGTTAGAATCGCCGTAATAGGGTAGTTGAGTGTAATAAATGGGAAAAACTATAAACTTTTTGTCGGAACTCTTGGGCCTCTGTCAATCACATTCTCACATGCACATAGTCTATTTCTTTGCCTCTGGTATGCTTTCTTTGATATGATGCCTTTCTTTATATATCACTATCAGAGCATTTATCTAGGCCATAACGTTTTTAAGGCATGAGACCATAAGTTTTTTTTAAGGGTTGGGATTATATTATATCTTTGTATCCCAGCACCTAGATAATGTATAATAGGTAAGCTCTATAATACTAACTCCTCTTATAGATGTGGAGACTGATACTCAAGAGACTGTAGGCATGCCCAAAGTCATACATGGAATCAGAGGCAGAAACTCAATCCCAAATCTCCTGATATAGATTGTGTGCTCTATCCATTAAGCCTTGATGACTCCCAACATTTGAAAATAGGAACATCATATCTCTTTAAGTGCCTCACATGTTTTTTCATTTTATTAATTTTATTGGGGTGACTGGTTAATAAGAGTATATAAGTTTCTAATGCCGAAACCGGTTTGGCTCAGTGGATAGAGCGTCGGCTTGCGGACTGAAAGGTCCCAGGTTCGATTCCGGTCAAGGGCATGTACATGGGTTGCGGGCACATCCCCAGTGGGGAGTGTGCAGGAGGCAGCTGATCGATGTTTCTCTCTCATCGATGTTTCTAACTCTCTATCTCTCTACCTTCCTCTCTGTAAAAAATCAATAAAATATATTTAAAAAAAAAAAAAAAAGTTTCTAATGTACAATTCTATAAAACGTCCTCTGTATATTGCATTGTGTGCTTACCATCCAGTGAAGTCTCCTTCCGTCACCATATATTTGACCCCTTTTACCCTCTTCAACCTATCCCTATCCTTATTTTTCCCTTTGATAGCCACCATACTGTTGTCTATGAGTTTTTGTTTGTTTTGTTTCTTCATTTGTTGCTGTTTTATATCCCACACGACTAAAATCATATGGTTCTTATGCTTTCAATATGACTTATTTCACTTAGCATACTCTCAAAATTCACTCAAGTTGTCACAAATGCAGTACCTTATCTTTTCTTATGGCTGTGTAGAAAGGAATGAAGATTAGAAATGGGAGCACCATTCAACCTACAGTTCTCTGACAGTCAAGAATCCATTATGATTGGATAAAGATGTGGTATAAGGGAAACGTATTCAGCCATAAGAAAAGATGAAATACTGCTATACACATTTGCTATAGAAAATAAAGCAACAAATGAGTAGATACTTACCAGAAGCATTTTCTGTCAGGGTCTCTTTATCCTCAGATTTTGATAGTCGTCTTTTGGAAACCATGTTGACCAATTTTCTGCAGTTAAATTATTTTCTACAGCAAAATCAGAGAACAGAAGTGACCCTCTCAAAGCTATATAAATTGAGAGGTTAAAGCTATAGCTCAAAGAAAACCACTCTATTCAAAACGGAAGTGGTTCCAGTGTTTACACTAATGCTATCTAAATCCAGGTATTGAGAAAATTTCAACCCCTCTATATGGTCAATACTTTCTTGCTTCCAAGACTTGTTTACCCAGTTGCCTTTTTAGCCAGACCACTTCCCTCTTTTTTAAATCCTTACCGGAGGACACGTTTTTATTGATTTTTAGAGAGAAATATCAATGTGAGAAACATCAATTGGTTGCCTCCCATATGCACCCCGACCAGGAATCGAATCCGAAACCTAAGTATGTGCCCTGACTTGGAATCAAACCTGAAACCTTTTGGTGTACAAGATAACGCTCCAGCTAACTGAGGCACCTGGTCAGGGCCAGACCACTTCCCTCTTTTATTTTATTAATTTTATTGGGGTTTCTGGTTAATAAGAGTATATAAGTTTCTAATGTACAATTCTATAAAACATCCTTCTTGCTGAAGGACAAACCCACAGTTCTCTGAGAGTCAAGATCCTTCATCTTCTAGCCCCAAACTATACCTCTCCAATAATTTAATAATCCAACACTACACATTAGAGACTGTGCTAGGTGCTGGGGTTACAATTATGAACCAGACATGATGCCTGACCTCAGGAAGTTTATAGTATAGTAATGAATAGTCTTAATGTAATTATTTAACTACAGTCATGCCCTGCACAGGATGTTTCAGATGACAGACCACATATACCACAGTGGTCCCATAAGATTATAATGGAGCCAAAAAATTCCTATTACCTGGCAACATAAAAGCTGTTGTAATGTCATAGCGTAACACATTACTCACACATTTGTAGTGATTTTAGTATAAACAAACCTACTATGCTGCCAGTTATAGAAAAGTATAGTGCACACAATTATGTACGGTATATAATAGTTGATAGTGGTAATAAGCAGCTATGTTATTGGTTTATGCATTTATTATACTATAATTTTTATCATTACTTAAAGCAGGGGTCCTCAAAGCAGCAGGCTCTGCACAGGCAAGCTCTTGACTCGTCTGATCACACGATCACACTCGAGACTGAGAGGAGGAGTCGAGAGACAGAGAGAAGGAGGGGAGTCCGAGAGTGCGGCGTACATTCCACACATGTGCACTCTGGCCTCGGGATGAGTCCGCTGCTAAGCAACAGGCAGCTGTGGCAAAAATACCCGGTGGGCCGGATAAATGTTTTCAGCAGGCCATATGTGGCCCGCGGGCCGTAGTTTGAGAACCCCTGACTTAAGAGTATACTATTTCTACTTATTTAAAATAAGATTTGCTATAAAACAGCTGTGTACACAGCAGCAGCCTCATACATCTGCTTACCGCTTGATGACATCATTTTCTCTTGTGCTTGATTTAATCTTGTGTTGTGTTGCATAGTAACATGCAATATAGACTTACAGCCTAGAAGCAAGAGGCTATAGAGCATATAGCCTAGGTGTGCGGTAGGCTACTAGTACACCATCTAGGTTTGTGTTAAGTACACTCTATGATGTTCGCACAATGATGAAATTGCCAATGGATGCAACTCTTGGAATATATCCCCATGATTAATCAACACATGACTATACAGTTCTGTACTATAAAAGAAAAGCACAGGCTGCTATGAGGGCTTACAAGGAAATTTAGTCTAGTTAGGGTGGCGGTGATGAAGAAATGCAGCGACAATTTCTCAGGGATAATCTTTTTGAGAAAGTGACTTTAAGCAGGGATCTGAGGGTTGAAATAGGAATTAGTAGAAGAGTTACAAGAAGAGTAGTCCAGGCAGAGAAAAACTCCACAGTGAAATAGGAAGGAGCTTGTAGAATTAGAAATGAGACTGCAGAAATAGGGGAGGGCCTGAAACACGGGGTCTTCGAGCTTCTCTTGTAAACCAGAAAACTGTTCTTCTCACCCCAAATGCTCTTATTTGCCTGGAAACTACTATTCATCCTTAAAGACTCAATTAAATGTCATCCTCCTTGAAAAATGTTCCTCTAGCCCAGCTGGCGTGGCTCAGTGGTTGAGTATCAACCTATGAACCAGGAGGTCAGGATTCGATTATCTGTCAGGGCACATGCCCTGGTTGCAGGTTCGATCCTCAGTGTGGGACGTGCAGGAGGCACCAATCAACGATTCTCTCTCATCATTGATGTTCCTATCTCTCTATCCTTCTCCCTCTCTGAAATCAATAAAAATAAGAAATTAAGAACAAACGTTCCTCTTGCCCTGGCTGGGTGACGGTTGGAGTGTCCTCCTATACACCAAAAGGTTGCCAGTTGGATTCCCAGTCAGGGCACATACCTAGGTTGTGGTTCGCCCTTCCGTCAGGGTATATACAGGAGGCAACTGACTGATGTTTCTCTCTAAAAGTCAATGAAAACATGTTCTCGGGATAGGATTAAGAAAAAAAGAAAAGCCCTGACCGGTTTGTCTCAATGGATAGAGCGTCGGCCTGAGGACTGAAGGGTCCCAGGTTCCATTCCGGTCAAGGGCATGTGCCTTGGTTGCGGGCACATCCCCAGTGGGGAGTGTGCAGGAAGCAGCTGATCTACGTTTCTCTCTCATCGATGTTTCTCTCTCATCGATGTTTCTGACTCTCTATCCCTCTCCCT